ACAGAGCTGCTGGGTATTCTGTTTCTGAGAGAGAAACCTTCCCTTCTGCGTCCCCAGAGCCACAACAATTGCTACAAGAGTCCCTGAGCAGCAGGAGAGGGTGGAGGTTGAGGAAACGGGGCTGACCAGACAACACTGCATTTAAAAACAGGTGAAAGGGAAGGGTCAGTTGGAGGGGAAGCATCAGTGGTTTAGATCAGTGAAAGGGTTACTGAGAGGGAGGTTTGGGTAAACTTGGTGCCCCTTGTGCTTTCCCAGTGCTTCCCAGCTTGCCTTCCTCTTACACATCCCTCTCCTCATCCATCCAGCTCTCCTTCTGTTCCCTGTGTTATTTCTCCATGCTCCTTCTCAGCACCAAGTGTTTGTGGGATGAAGTGGGAAGCAGTGAATTCCCCCACATTCCAGGCTGCCCAGTGCAGGGACACCTGTGTGTCTGTGTCCCACTTCCCTGCTGGATCAGGCCCTTCTCACAGCTTGGCCATCAGGGCTCTGATTTACCCTCTTTTCCCGCAGAGCACACTGATTTTTCCCTCCTTCATTCACACTCCACACTGACACCTCTCCCAGTCCTTTCAGTGGGCAATACAGTGCTTCCTGGATGAGCCCCAAAATGTTCCCTCCTTTTACCCACACCAACAGAGCCCATTCCTTGGAGCCTCCAGATTCAGCTCCAGGGAACAGCAGATCCCTTACAAAGTTACAAGGAAACTACTTCTGCAATAAATAAAGCTGTTAGAGACCGATTTATGTCGGCCTGGAAATACTGCAGATTTGAATTTGAAGATTTAATACACTGGAACCAGTGGACTGGTCCATCTTCTGCACCAGGCAGACTTTTCTGCGTACACAAATCAGGGTGCTGTAGCACAGTGGAGGGAATTTATGCCTCGCTAAATGTGATGTAAGATATTTTAAAGGCTGAAACAGTTTCAGACAAGCTAGCAAACCATAAATTCATACCGAGGAATAGAGCTCTGTGTTCAAACACACGTATAAAGCTCCAAAGTCTTGAAGATTAATTTGTCCCTGTAGCACTGTTCCCTCGCCGTTGCCCTCCAGTTGATATTCCTCATGGGACATCTGCACAGAAGGTGCTTTATGGCAGCTGAGTTTGGGAGATTAATACACTGAAGCAGCCTTAGCACCTTCAAGGTGTCATCTAAATCATGAAACTACAGAAACCTGGAAAGCACATGGCAGGCCCTTTGTCTTTCTGCAGATTCTGTGGATGCAAACCCCTCTTTTTCTCCCTCGAAAAAGCCCTGCTGAGTGAGGCTTATCTTACAAAGGCCTCCTTTCTTGCTCCCCTCTGCGAGTTTCTACTTATGAGAAAACAGCAGGCCCCAAAAATGTGGTTTCCATGTGCTACATAAAGAAAAAGCAGCTCAATGTATCAGCAAGAATTAATTTCCAGAGCAGGAGGGGGGAGAACTGCTGCCTGGCCAGAGAGGACTGAAAATCAGTACCCTGTGATAGTTAATAGCTGTACAGAAAGAAATACACTGTTCCAGCTTTGCTGTTACTCACAACAACTAACCCCAACAGTTCATTTACCACGTGCAGAAACCCAAATATTATCTGGGGGGGTTCCCATAAAAGCAGAAGTATTTTTGGCAGAGCTATATATGTCTCTTTTACAAGGAACCACATTTTAAAATGTACCTTTTTGTCCTCTACTTAACTGGTCTGAAAGCTTTTATGGTTCTTTTTAAAAGGATTTAATGAAACTTTACAACTGAAAAACCCATCCCAGAGTTTCAAGCTGAAAAATCTGATGCTCTTAGCTCTGAGTGATTTTGAAAACTATTACAGGAACTTTTACTTGCAACGGACTACAAAGAACAGACTAGGCTGACCAGAAGCGCTGCCTAATTTACTGAGCAGGTCAGCTAAGAATGTCTAGTTCTGTACTTATTCTTCCATACTCATTAGTAAAAATTGATATTACATTGTTTTTTCAAGTTATAGAATGTTATTAACATCATACAATCAGTAGCTGACAACAGCTGGAATTCCCAGTTGTGCTTACCTCCGAACTGGAATTTTCCCGTTTGTGTTTGTTAGGAAGGCCAACTTCATCCAGCTGAAATTAGGAATGAAATACTTTTAAAATACTATTTATTAAAATTGGGATCTAGATACTTATGTTTAGCTTGAGATTATTGCCCTGTCTGTCAGATGAATACAAAAAAATAATTGTTCTGTAATAAGAACATTTTTCTGTGACCTCTTAGTGCTCGAGGCAGAGCAGTTCACTAAACGTGAAAGCAAAAAGCAGCCCAAAATATCAGTACAGCAATTAAAACAAGTGTGAAGACAAGAAAGTCTCCTGGGGTTTCACTTGCATATGCATCAAGGAAAGAACAAACTAGACAATAATTAAAACATACAAAACAACAAATCAAATGAACAGTTATAAATTCTTTTATAATTTCTCCTGGGCAAGGTGGCAGATATAGCCTTGAGACTTCTCTGGTCTCAGTGAGAGACAAACTCTTAAGTAATTTAACACAATTTTCTTTATTATGCTGGTTTGTGACTGTAAATGTTGAAGTAGGAAACCCAATTTTTTTTTTTCAATTCCAAGAAGGAAAATACAGAAAAATAAGGGAGAAAGGGAAGGAAAGAAAGGGGAAAGAAAGTAACTTACTGTTTCTTGAGACATGTCATTGGACTGACATTGTTAGCTCTAAAGTTGTGGATGATGGATCCAAGCCCTTCCACCCATTGCTGAAAAATGGGAAAATACAGAAACACCAAATTAGCAAAGTGGAAGAGGGAAGAAGTAGAAAAGCTTTTCCTGGGGGAAGGTTCTTTCTTGGAGCTATGGATAATGTTAATAGCCTGAGTTGACGAAGAACTTTGCCCAGTTGACAGCCTATACCATAGAAAAGTCCAGCCACATTTCACCCATTACCATTTCATCCCTCCCCAAACGAAGTGACTGTGCTTTCCATTCTCCCCAACACCACACGGAGCATCAGCAGTGCTATTAAACCAGTTTATTGCCAGCCAAGGCAAGTGGTCCATTGATTGATTTAGTAAGCCCTCTATTTATGCCCTCTCAGTGGCAAGGGGCAATATCAGCTATTAGTAACCAACGATGCAATATGTGATGAGATATTCAACTGGTCCAGTTTTGGCAAAGGAACGAAACAAAACAATGACAAGCTGGAGGCACAACAATTGCTCTGTGACACCAACATCATCCAGCACTCTGTTACATATTCAAGTCCCGCTTAGCTTTCTTGCTTTCATCCTTAAAAAGCACAACATTCCCATAATCACTGGGATGGCTTTCAGCCAACAGCAGCATTACAGCACTTACTTCTGTAATTCCATTTTTATGGATCTAGTTTTCTACTGTAGCCTGCACCTCGACTCTGCAGCAGTGTATAGAAGCTGCAGCTTAAGGATTAAGGCCCAAACATGAACACTCATTGATTTCAGCAAGAATTCCTGGCAGGATAAAGCTACAGGAAGGGAAAAAAAAAAATGACAGCACTCCAAGCCAAGTTCGATCTCAATTATGCCATTGTAACACTGGGATTACTCAACAGATAATTTACACTGGTGGAACTGAGATGGGCTTTGGTCCACTGCTAAACATTAACCTTATGAATAAAGAAGTTTTTTTGCTTCTGGCCAAATTCTGTGCAGGCAGCTTGAACTGACTTGGGCAGGATCCAGAATTTGACACTTATAAATAGATGCAGATGAGTGTATTTTTCTTTTCATGAATGAGTGCTGTACATCTGCAATACAGATGGAAAAAATTGTGATTTATACTGGAGGAATACTAATGTCTTTGGGAAATGGCACATTGTAAACTGCAGGCAGCAAATCCTTGTGGGCTAAAACAAGGTCTAAGGTGTCACTTCAACAGATAAACACACTTAAGTAGATCCTTGTACTCATGACACATTAAATCTATTTTGTTTTAGGAAAAGTAGCCGCTTGTTAGAACGTTCATATTTAATTATTTTTTTAAAAATGATCTTTTAAGTAAGTACCACATAAAACATGCATTCTAACAGTGTATCTGAGAATCATTTGAAAACAGAAGTCTGACTTCTGAGAAAAGCTGGTATTTGGGGTTTCTTAGGTGTGTTTCTGTGCTTGAAAACAACCCACCAGTAACAGTCTGCCCTCCCATCTCTATTTTTCCAACTGCATGAGTACAATGACTTAGTAATCAGAGGATGAGGGTACTGAATAGAAAGATAAAGAAAACAAGGTTCATGGGGCAAGATAATGTTATTTATTAGAGCTGATATAACTAGAAACCAGTGACAGATTTAGGGAACACTTATCTTTTCCAACAAATGTTCTCTCACCTCAGATGATAAAGGAATAGAGCTTGTGATAATTTCAGGGTAAATGCCTGAACAAGTCTTACATATATTTCAATTTCCTAGAACTGTCAAAATTCATCTTTATCTACCTACATTTGGGGTTTTGTGGTTGTCTGGGTTTGTGGTTTTTGTGGTTTGTTTTGGTTTTAAATCTAAAATGTAACATTCCTGCTGCATTAACACTGCCACAGGTACACAAACATTTATCCTCATGATTAGTCTGTGGTCCCTTCCAAACTCCTCCACCTTTCAGCACTGACCCATACAGTACAACTGCATATGCACTGCAAACAAAAAAACCCTTGCAAAATTAAATTACACAAAATGAACACTGCGAATAAGCTTCAGCCTTTTTCTTTTTTTTTCCTGCCAATGGTGACCATATCACCATTTCAATCAGATCCATTTGAAGGCAATGGATTACAACAACCCCAGACATAACAAACACGAATGTTTCAAAGTAAGGTTACCCTGCACTCAGTTCTGAAGTCACTTCTGTACATCAAGAGGAGCTGCCAAAAGGAACACTTCACAAGTAGAGAGAGAAATCAATACGCTAACCACTTACCAAGTGGTATTTTTGCAGTTGTCCTGATGATTCCCACTTTGGAGGCCTCCCTAATCTTTTTTCAGTGTTAATGCCCTTTCCAGATAGAGATGCCAAATCAGGAACTCCACTCCCTTTACAGCAAAAGGGCACAAATCTACAGCCAGACACTGGTAAGCCACAAAAGCATCACACCTCTGCTGGTACCAAGCAAGGGAGCCAACCAAGAGCCTCTGTCCACTTCTGAATCATCTTCACATTGGTGGCATGTCCCCTGGGCAAGACATGGCAGTTCCAGAGACACGTTTGCCCATCTGTTCTACCCCACGCTGCTGCACCACAGGGAAGCCTCTGGCTGCTTGCCCTTCATTTGGGGGCTGAAGCAGGTTCTGGAGCGTCTCATCTGATATTGCCCACGGTTATCAGCTGGCCCCAAATTAACCGGGAATACAACAACAAACACACTCAACAACACAGTCAAAACGTTCAGATTCTTTTGTCCTTCTGAGCCAGACTAGTCTCCAAATAACAACTATATTTATAATCACTTTTAAGGCACAGACAGGCACAAAATTCAATGTCAAGCTGGCAATATATTGCTTTCCTGACAATATACTGTTCCCAGATTTAATGTACACTTGTCTGATGACCTTGCAGGAGGGATGAAAGAAGAGATCAGATTTCTCCCAGCTAACACACTATGAGATATTCAGCAGCAGCCTTGCTTATATGCTATGATAGCACTCCTTATTTTACAGATGAAGCTGAAAGATCTGTAAACCTATGTAAGTAACAAGGATAAAGATCCTCAATTCTCTTCTTCCACGCTCAGCATTTTCAAATCACTACCTCTGCAGAGAAGGAAAATCCTGTAACAAGATGAAATTCTCAGGTAGATAGGAAACGCTTCACTTGGGTCTTACAGAAAGTACAAAATGTTTTTGATAGAAATCAGGGTACATTGGATTCCTACTGATGCTAGTGCTGAGCATTTTCCAATTTTCAAAATACGGTTCAGTGCCTTTCATCTGTCAGTGTAACTCCTGAGTGGCTCCCTATATACAAGTATTATTCCAGATTCACAGAGGAATCTGGGCCCTGCTATCTAATCCTAGAAAAACAACAATCATGAAAAGAAGCAAAACCAAACACAAGTGCACCTGAAGTTCAGACCCTCAAGCTGACACAAGAGGCCAAAATCTACACTGCAGACTGGAACAGGCAGCCTGTGTTGTTTTTCTCTAACAAGATCAAACGCTGTCAAGCATCTCTAGAAGGAGAAGGTACAAGAAAAATTGCCTGAAGAAGCACTCTCTCAGCTTTTGCTGTAGCACTCAAATGCTTCTGAGGCACTTAGTGACCCTGCATTATCTGAGGTTCATCAATGAAACATGGGCAGCAGTGGCAGGGTACATGAGTAAGTTTGGCCTTTCAACCCTCTTTTAGCCATCGCCCTTTCATTTAGGGGGGGTTAAAAAGGACAAAACTTATGAAAGGTTAAAAATCACCATAACCTACAGCTGATGGAATTCTAGACAAGGTCACGCACGAATTATTTACCGACGAGGTCGGCATCATCCAGGCCTCTGGAGATTTTACCTTCCCTTTCTCAGTGCAGTCTCTCCAGGGTTATTTCCCACACCAGCAAAGCCAGGGAGGCAAGGAGGCACTGCCCTCCGATTTTGGTATTCAGAGCCTATGACTGGCTGTCAGACACAAGGGCTTGACAGCTTGAGGGTTTGGGGGGCCCACCAACAACAGAACCGTGTTTCCCACCTCTTCCCAAGCCAGCCAGGGGCTGGCAGGACTCCCTGGCACTCGCCCTCAGCCAGCAGCGCCGTGACCAGCAGATGTCCCTCTTCCCCCAAAGCAGATGTCAGAGAACTCACTTCTGTTCCATGAAAATTCCTCTTCCTCTCATGCCAGAGGGTGACAGCGCCAAACCTATTCCCTACCTGACCAACTGCAGCACAGCCTTGAAGGATGTTGCTGTGAAAATTCTGGCACAGAGATAAAAGGAAATCCTCTGGCTTTCAACTATTCCATCAGGAAAGGTGAGGCTTGCACACTCAGTACTGGCAGTTGCCTGATGTGTCCAGATTGCTACCACACTTCAACAGAGCTTTCCACCCTGGAATTGCTCTCCCAGCACCGGAGGGGTCTACTCAGAAAGCGGTTGGAAGAGTCACTTTGGCTGCTTTTGTATGCAAACTATGAAAAACAAAGTGGAGCTTTACACAGTGAAATCCACCTCCTGGCTACAGAAAACCAGGGCTAAAGTTTTCAATTTACTGATAATTCTGCAGTGGTACAGCCAAGAAAGAACACCAAAAGGCAGAAAAGCACATGGAAATGTTCTGACTCTGAAATGCAGGTTGAAATATGAAGATCTCTCTAGAGAATGTGTTATTACATATTTGGCACAGGGCTACCTGAATAGGTAAGCTGTGGTCATAGAGTTAAGATAGCCATGATTTAGAACTGTTTACCACAGAGACTTTGAGACATAAATCATATATACTAACGTAGAAGGACACAGAGAACAGCAGTAGGCTTCTGGAGTTCTACTCAAGCATATTTTGCAGGCTTCTGGGAAAGTTTTGCTCTGAAACATCAAAACAAACCAAAGCTTTGGGAAAACAAAACTTTTCTGTAATGTATTTGTGGTATATTCGCATAGGAATCTTCTGCTACCTTCTATCTGCCCTCTTAACAATACGATTTGGGCAAATATTTAATAGCTTGTTTCGTGGGGAGAAAAATCAGGGTCAGTCAGGCCAGGCTGGATGGGGCTCTGAGCAACTTGCTCTAGTGGAAGGGGCTGGAATTAGATGGTGTTTCAGGTCCCTTCCAACCCAAACCATTCTATGGTTCTATCAAACAGAATTTTTCTGTAACTCAAGAAAAGCCAGATAGAAACACCAACAAAACTAATGAGCCTGAGGTACTCCATCTTACCAAACCCACAATGGTCCACTCAATCACTGTAAACAAATTGAAAAAAAAAAAAAAAAAAAAAAAAAAAAAAAAAAAAAAAAAAAAAAAAAAAAAAAAAAAAAAAAAAAAAAAAAAAAAAAAAAAAAAAAAAAAAAGAAAAATGAAAAATAACATTCTCAGTGAAAAGTTTAGGAATGTCAAAACGAAACGTTTCCAGCTGCAGTCGTCTTCCATGCCATAAATATTATGAGCTGCATGATAAAGCCTGCATTTGCCTTTATGTTGTTTGCCAGCATGTAATACAGCATTTCAGCACATGTTGATTGTTCATTCTGGTGCCTCACAGGTTAAGCCATCAATGTGTGAACCACTGTCTCAGTAACGCACCTGTGGAAAAGACCTGTTTTCTATCAAATCTAATCAGAAGTGTAAAACCTAGTCTGTTTTACACCTATGGCTGCTGCCATCCTGACCCACTGCCAGAGGAATTGTGTGAATCAGCACCTCCCAGAGCCAGATTATCTCAAACACTGTTGTAAGCTTTGCCCCTAAATGTGTCACATGAGCCTAACACTGTGTTGAATCAGGAGTGTTCACATGAAGCCCTCTGCCAGCAGGGCAGGGGGAACAGAACTTTCTGGCATAAGGACAAAATCTATCAGCTGGAGAGATGATCCTTTCCAACAACACAGCTGCATCTGGGAAAGAAAAGCTGTCAGGACAAATTTACCCCCGATATTCATAAATATTACATAATGTTAAAAAACCTGACTTAGGTTAATCTTTTAAGTTAAACTCCTTAACTGCCAAGTGCACTCCAAGCATTGCCAAAGTGCATGAGCAAAGAAGACAAGAAATCCATACTCTGGATCGCTGAAGTACAACAGCTTTACTGGACTTGTGCCATTTTTGGATAGGCAGAGTACATGCCATGGGCTAAAGGCTCCCATCAGCACCACATCACTTCTGCACTAAGGAAATGCACCCCTAAATACCCACAGGACTTTTCAAATGTCCCAGACTGAGGAAAGCAGATCATCTGATTACTAGGTCACAGCAAGTCCATCTGGGAAGTAAAAAAGAAAAATACACAACATAGGCTCCCACCTCTCATATGTGTGTCTGTGTGTTTTAAATTTAGCTCAGGGTAATTTATACAACCTGATTTAATCAGGATTCCAAATATCAGCTTTTAAATTCCACCTTTTGCAGTCACTCTCTGCTGTCACAGTGGAGCTGCTTTAGGAGTGGACCACGACAGCTGCTTGCAATCAGAGACAGAGTACACCCTATTCTGTGGCTGTTTTAAGAGTGGAAATGAAAACCAATTTCTCAGCTGAAAACACCAATAAAATTTAAGTAGATGGAGTGTAAATACCAGAGTTGGAGCTTGGAGACAAGTGGAGGGATAATAAACACGCTCTTGTCGTTGGAACAGCTCTACTTGGAGCTCAGCGATGCCTCGGCCAGACCTGCTGAGCACACTGGCACAAGGGGCAGAGGGATGTGGGGCTGCCCCAGTGCAGAGGTGATGACAGATGACAACAGCCAGCCTGTGATGGGGAGGGTTCAGCAGCTTTGTGCACGCCCACCTGCCACAGCTGGGGCACTGCCCACACTCTGCCACCCTGTCCTACAGGACCTGGCAGAACCTGCCTCCCAACAATATCATTCCTTGCATGGATAGCCTGGAGAAGCCAGGAACTCGCATTAATTTTCTTCTTTGTCATGGTTTCTCTGTTCCATTATAGCCCAGCCTTCAGGGAAGAACAATTACTTCTTTTCGAATTGTAAATTACTATCCAGAGAAGCAGAATTCCCTTTTGTCCTCTTTTCTGGGTAGAAATGCTCTGAGCTTTTGTGTTGGGATCTGCCACTCAGTTACCTGGTTTCAAAGCATCCCAATCAGGTACTAACCAATCCAGGCCTTGGTTTATCTGAGGAAGGGACAGAAGATCTACAGCAAGTAATGTTTACCTTCCTCATGGCAACAGGGCAGGCACAGCAGAAACCAGGTGCACCCCTAACATGAATCTGGGCTGCTAGACCTACAATCACTGCCCCCTTTTCTCCAAAATCTTGCCTCTGTTCTTACCAAAGAGGGGCTTACGTTTGAACATGGATTAAATCAAGGCCTATTTTAAACTGCTGCATAAAAGCTGCATGGCCACTGAACACCATGCAAAGGCTTATTTCTCCTAGAAGAGATTTACTGTCGCAGAAGAAAGATGTTTTCTCATGAACAAAACAGGAAGAATTAAGCAGGAACAGGTCTATGTGCAGACAACTCCTAGAAAATTTTATTTTAGCACAGAACTACACTAGCAAATTGAGGTACTTACCATGTATGAAAAGCCAATAGAGTACAGGCCAAATTCCCCAGCAAAGGCAACTTAGAAAGGCCTGCATTGATTTTTTTGGCTTGATCTGCTTTATCCTCTCCCTTGTGCCTCAAACATATCACATCAGATCAGGTGGATCATCACTGCTGACAGTTCTGGACATCGATTTTGGTGGTAAGGCTCCCAAATGCAGGACTCTCACATATATGGGCCTCTCAGAGCCTCCCCACAGGCAGACTGCAGCATAACACACCATTTTTGGTAGGCAACTTTGCTCTTAATGAAGCAATAGATCTTTTCAGCCGTGTAATTAGCTCATCTCCTGTGACAGTGTGTGTAACTGGCCAAGATCCTCACAAACCAATTAGTCCAATACAGCCTATTGAGATCTAAGGTGGCTGAGAAACTTAACAGCGACTTTCTGTTTTCAGAATAAATCAGAGACACTGTTGGGTTAAGTATAAAACTGAATGCTGCCAACACATCCTTTTCTTTGCCTCTCCAGTGTTGTCAAAACATAACTGTGGCACGTTATTTCCCTGAAAGCCTGCTGAAAATACACACAGTAAAATCAATTTAGTGTACCCATGTAAGCTATACAAGCGTTTCTCCTCTCATGGGGTTTACTCAGCATTGCCAGTGTTTCCAAAGGTATGGATCCATGGCAGTGAAGGAGCAAGCAGGTCTGCCAAGGGATTTAGTGATGCTGCATTCAGCAGAGAGTTTTAAATTAGGTGTGCATTACTGATCACTATTCAATACTTATATCTCACAAAACTGATTATAATTCTAAATACCCAGAATACATACAATCAGAAAAGAAAAATCCAAGAATGTGTATTTTTAAAACCCCTTGAATGTCTGAATCTAAGGTACTATCAGCACTCTGGATCAGGTTTCTCAGAGCAGTTCACAGCAGACATCTCAAGTACCAGGAGACAGGTGGAGCCCCAGAATTTGCATTGTGAACTGCAATCTAGAGCTCTCAGGAAAGATGACGTGTAAAAAAGTGCCATTGTTTCCTTAGGACTGTTCCATGCCAACAGGAAACAGAAAAGAACCTGGGTACACTGGGATCCCTTTAACCGCAGAGAATTTTCTTTCCTGCTTTTGTCCTTTCCAATAATATGAACCCCACAACACAATCGGGTTATCGCTGAACAGAATTTCGGACGGCTGAACTCCACCCACCAGGAAAATGGAAGTCACTGCACCTCCCCTCAGCATCCCTGTGACAGATCCACTGCATAACTGTCACACAGCCTGCTGGACATGCCCCCACACAGAGACACTCAACAGCTGAAGGAATGATCTGTCCTATATTTGCTGGTCCCAGTGTCTAATTTGGATAAATCACTGTGCACCCAGAGGCTGATAAACCCACTATTTCCTTTCCCCATGCCACACAGACATGTCACAGAGTGCTCCAGATGGATGTTTGTTGTCCTCCTGAGAGTGAGGCAGCAGCCAAAAAGCCAGGTATTTCAGTCAGCCGAGCAGGAAGACTTAGGAAAAACAACTGAGAACTGCTGATGAGCTCTCATTTTTAACTCCCCCCCACTGTTTAATTGTGAAATACCTTGGCTACTTCTGTGTTTTCCGCTACCATGTAAGTGAAGCTGATGTTCACCAGGTCTGTGCCACTGCAAACACACACTATCCGTCCTTCCAACTCGTTCTCTGACTTTCCAACAGCCTCGAGTGCCGTCAGGATTTTGGGATCCTGTGAAACAGAATAAATCACTTGTTACATTTGCCACTTTTCTCTTCTGCAGTGCACTACGGTCAAGATGCATTTTCATCTCCATATACACTTACACCCTTAAACCTTTGCCAATCGTCATAAATGAGTGCTTTCGCTTAGAAATAGTGTGCAAATCTGAAAAACAGATCTATTCTAACAGTTAGGAACTTGATTGTCAGAACTCATATCTTCATCATGCAAAAGAAAAATTAATCACTCCAAGGACTGGAAACAGAGGAGCAGTATTAATCTCTAAGTTAATTATTCCAATCTAGTTAAGTCCATAGTTCCTGAGAGTTACGATCTCTGTGACTTCTTGTGTCATACAAGCTGGTGTCTGCTGCAGGTCAAGGACTACAGATTTAAAGGGTTTATTTTTTTAAAGTGTAAATTCCTTATGTAAAGACAGGGCTGAAGTCTGAAGCGTACTGGTATGGCTGTCAGCACATGGGTTGTCTGCAACATCCCTTCTCATGCCCCTCCTCTGTGGGGGAGGAATCTTGTTCTATGCATTCCCAAGACAATTATTAAGAGAGAATTACCTACAGTTAACACAAAACCACTTAACACATGACAATGGAAATGCAGAGTCCCAACAAATCTTCTGAACTAAAGGCCTGCAGGAGGGAGGGCCACGATTCACTTCTGAAGAATACCACTGAGGATGTTTCCAAAGTTTTGGGTTCGCCCAGAATTCCTAGCAAGTGCTTCTGTTGATACTCTTCAAAAAGGCAGACTGTGACCAGCTGCCCTCTCTGACCTTTTAACTGCATAAAGAGGGATGTAAACAAAACTTCCTGGGTTTTATGTCAATGGTGCAAGAAGATAAATTTTAAACTGATAGCCACAAAATCTGGAAAATCAAACTTTTTTTCCTAGACCTGTAACACAAGTATCACAATCCACTGTTACAAAGGAATTAAAAACTCCTGATAGGTGCTCCTAACGTCTGTTGTTCAGCTTTCCCCACATCCTGAACCCCGTACTACTTCAGAAAGGCCAGATGGCCGAACCCTCAGTCACAGCAAATCACTTCAAAACTCAACATTTGAGATCACGATTACAAAATAAAAACTGTGTTGCTGGCATCACTTGAAGAAATGAGTGTCATCCTCTATTTCACCTTCAGTTTAAATATTTGTTGTTTAAATGAAGAGCACAAAGCACAGAGTACCTTTGGTACAGCTCCAAAACGCACACTGTTGATCAGGGAGCATTCTAACACCTGTCCTTCCTGAAACGACAAAAATAGGTGCAAGTTCAAAGGGCTGCTGAGATTAGGAAGTGCAGCAAAAATAAACGCTGAATCTTGCTTGTTAACACTGTTAACAAATATAAACAGTATATTTCCCTTCAGCATTTTGTTATTTCCCTCTTATACACTTCACTTCTGCCAATTCTAAAAAAAAAAAAAAATAGGATGAAGGCTAGTTTTGTAAATAAACTAACATGGTATTTTACATGTTCGAAAACTAGCCAGAATATACTCCAAATACTATAATATCTAATATATACTCCTGATATAACTGTAATATACCTTTCCTTCACTTTTCCAGCTCAGAAAAAACCCAAATTCATCCACTTGGAAGAGACAGTTGCTTTCAAAGACAAAGGATTCCTATGGAAAAGAAAACACAGACCATTATTTTAGTCAGCTGGATGAATATCATAAATTTATTTCTTGTTCAAAAATAAAAGAGTGTTTCATTTCTTCCCAAATACCTTCCTGCAGAATTTGCTATTCCCAAACAAACACAAGTGAGGGAGGCAGGCTTTAAAAAAAAAGATAATTTTTAATGATTTGTCTTCTTGCAGATGCTTGAGACATTTGGATGCACTTAATTAGTATTTTCCTACTTCATTGCAACTATGAAGACGTTTTATTTAATAAAAGCAGTGATTCTCACCTAATAAAAAACCTTAATGAAATACACCTTCAAAAAATTATGGAAAATTAAATGCTTCAAACCACACAAAGGTGAAAATATACATAATTTGCCAGTACTATCTTCAGGGTCAAATGATCACATTTCATTTTAACATTCAGAATTTGGGAAGCACTTTTCTGTTAAGGCTGTGGCAGTGTTAATGCTGTGAGCAATCTGTGGCCAGAGTATCAGACAAGCAGAGTTTGGAGGATATTGATTTGTAGAAGGAATCAGGAAAGGATGGCATTCCAAAGACACTGGGCAAGGCAAAAAAAAAAAAATCAGATTAGCTGAATTAAAAAAAGAAATTTCCTCCACACACCTCCAGCCTCAATTAGTGCATCATAAATTAAGCTCAAATGCAGGAAAGGAGTGTGCAGAATCAATCACGTCTTGAAGGAAAGAAGGATCCAGAACTTCCTGACTTCCTTAATTGAAAACTGACAGCCATGTGTGCAGAAGAGTCCTCTGCAAGGAAACAATCCAGGCTTCCAACCGTATTTTTGATAATCGCACCAAAATTCGAGCACTGAAATCTCTTTTCTGTCTCCCAACAAAGAGGCCAAGGAAGAGACGTGGGCCACATCCCCTCACTCAGATCCTCCCAGGTTGTTCCCTGAGCAATTATTTCCTGAGGAAAAATCAAGCTTTTCTGAACCTCCTTTCTAAGGAATTCCAGGTCCACCGGTACCTGGAATATCCGTATCCACCGGTTTGTTAATCCAGCAACAAAACTGAAAATACAGGGTAAACCAACTATCCCTATCTTGGCAGGCCTTGTGATAAAAAATACCTTTTACTTACTTTTCAAAAGATAAGAAGCAAACACTAATATCCCTGAAGGCACTTACAGAGATACCTTCGACTTAGAGAGATTTCCTGTCCAAACAAGATTAAAAATAGACCCTGATAAAATTGTTCTTATCACCACACATCAATGCTGAGTATAAGGTGAACTTCTCAGCACTTTATTTCAGCTGTGTAAAACGCCCTGTTTTGCATTCCTTTAATAAATTTGGATTAAAGCACAGCTGAAAGTGGGATCATAGTAATCATATTTCAGATAGAGTACAGATTGATTTTCTGAAGTAGATAAAACCCCTCCAGATCTCAAATGGTGCATTTGGATCAGAATATAAATGTTCTGTGTTCTCTTATTTTCCCTTGTGATATGCAGGTCCTCAGTTATATACTAAAAAAAAAAAGCAATATATTCTCCCTCTCTCCATTTGATAGCTGTGCAAAAAACAGAACTTAACTCACTTTGTTCAATAATGTGCTTTATGAATCTGCAAAGATGAGTTTTATGCATCTTACAGATATTTTGATCCAATTCTCCCTTTCTCTTCCTCAGGGCTTATTTCAAATCAGAGGGATTAAATATATTTTAACGTCGTTTCTTTTAAAAGCAAAAAAAAAACCTGCACAGCGATAAAGTGTGTTGGTATTGCCTCCCCACAGACATTTCTGGAGGTATTACCAGACAAACTGAAAGTTTCTTTGTGTACAATGAAAGCCAAACCGTGAAATATTCTATCCCATCTGCATATTTAAAAGAGAATAGCAAATGAAAGGCAACTGGCCTCTTACCTCTTCATATCTATCAAACACAGCTCCATCCTGCAGGAAAGAGGGGACTGGCTTCTGCCAGTTGAATTCGTAAGGTTTTGCCATGATTACAGAAGAAAAACCTGCAATGGAATGAAAAGGCAGAGTTCAATTACTGCCCTTCAAAAGGAGCCTTTCAAAGTCCAAGCAGGAAAAAAGTGAGTTCTAGCTTTTCCTTTCACACAGAAATATTAATAAGTCACAGTGTGTTTCCCAATCAAGAGTTTTCCTCATAAGAGTAATTTTGTTTCATACCTTTAAAAGGAAAAATACTTGTAGAATGGGTGTCTGAACTTAATTATTTGAAAAACACTTGCTCTGCAACTTCTAGAGTGTAATGAGGCTGGGATTAACAAAGCTCTGAGTGACACAGAATAGCACAACCTGCAGTATAGACAAGTGCTTCTTTTTTTACAGGAAAAACATCAGATGCTACACAAACAGACTGTGTTTCCTCTTACATCCTAAATTGTATGCAACATAGGCAAACCATGTTTCTTCTGTGTTCTGTACCCATTTATTATAATGGATTTATCAAAAATCCCTTTATATTGAACAAAGTCCTGGGTATTTCCAGTGGTATTTTATACATAACTAAAGATATGGATAATATATAGGTCAACATTCATCGAGGAAAAAAACTGTTTAAACACACAGGGAATTAAATAAAGTTAGCAAGTTCCATTGTGCACTTCTGCAAGTTTAGGAACGTGAACAAAACTGCTAATTCAAAATACAACAGAGAGGCCATAACATGTGGACCTTGCAATAAAGACCAGCAAATTATCCAGTATCCTTTTCAACACCTTGGTGCCTTCTAGGTTGTGTTGCTTTACACCAGAAAACTCTGTCCTCTGAAATACTGGAGTTTAATTTATATGCATTGTTCCTGCTTATTAATGCCACCCAGGACACACATATTTTGCTTATTCCTTTATACTCTTGACCAGAAAGCCTTGCCTGAGGGGAGAATAAATACCCTTGGCAGTAGCAAGATCAGCCTGACTCGTGGCCGTCAGGAAACCATTCCGTGAGACGGAATATCAGGGGTGAGCACAGCACAGAGTCACAACCACTGACCTCACACACTGCTGCTCACCCTGTTCTCGTCTGCCTGTCCCAGCCCTCCTCTGACAATTGATAATGTTCATCTGCTCCTGACCGTCTCCAGAGGCACAGGGCTGTGTGTGAGCAGCACAGCTCCTGCTCCGCAGGCACTCGGCCCACACAAGGCTTGTCCAAGCGGGGAGGATGAAAAGCATCCATAAAACTCGAGGGACAGCATGACAGTCTGTGCAATCTCTGCTAAGCAAACCACCTCTGTGTTGCCAAAACCCCGAACAGTACATTAAATTAAAATATTACTGATTAGGTAACAACGCTTCTGAAAGGTTCTTAGACAGAAATGTCTACTTGGACTGAACTTTAAACCCAGAACAGATGCAAGCACTTAAAAAAGCTTAAGGATCCTGTAGTATCCTTTTCTCTGTCTTGGTCTCTTTCACATAAAGAATGTTCTAACAAGAAAAAGTATATTGGTTTTAAGAACAGTTATTTTCATAATTTCCTGCTGGAAAAATAACCTTACTAGTTCAAAAATGCAAAGCACATTTTCATGCTGCCCATCTCTACTTCCTGCCCTTTTTTGGTCACTGATACAAGAATATAAAAATACATCTTTCATGTTTCCAAAGCCTGAGGAATAAGATAAATGAATTAATTCTCCATAACAATCAAAAATACAATTTAAATTTATATATATGTCACTATTGAGTGTTTGCTTTCATTGAAAATGGGATGAACACTCCAAATTATGTCCGTACTCTCAAATTTAAAAAAGAAGCTAAACAATATTCAACACTATTCATCTGTACTTTTTTTTTTCCCCTGATAAAGAGTTGCTTTGGACAAAACAGAGAACAAGCAACTAGGGCTGAGAAGTGATTTAGTATCTTATCAAAAGCCCCCTCTTCTTTTTGCCAGTCCTGTAAATGAGTAGTAATATCTTCCTCATGAGCACCATGAGATGTTTTGAGATCCTTTCAAATTATTGAATTTTTACTAGGTTCTTTATAAATACACTTATAATTCTCATGTCTCTCCCTGTTTAGATTAGCATAGAGCAGCTTTTCCCTCATTCCATGAAGGAAGCTGGATAACGAGACAGCCACCCCACTTCAGTAGCGTGATGGCATCATGATCTGGACAGCTCACAGACTTCACACAGTGGCTCGGTACAATCACAACAACCTGGAAACTTAGTGCTTGTTCTTGGAGCAAAGTCACAGCCAGACAAACACAGCTTCAGACAGGTGTTTTCTGACTTCACAGGTTTTGTTAAGGGCAAAGTTGAAGGCAGAACCAACAGAACCCCATACCATACAACCAACCCTCAAAGGCCTTGGAAAAATATCCTTCAAAGGAAGCTTCACATTTACATGCCTGAAGTGACAAACACTATATTTTTATGGCTTACTGGCCATTCCCTTATGTTTAAATGCCTTTTATTATCAGAAGGTTCCCAAGAAGAAAAGTAGCTTCAAATACAACAGGCAGTTCATGCAGCAATAAATGCTGCCAGCACGTGAAGCCCTTCTGGGGAAACCTCACACATTCTGTGCTAAAACGTAAGAAATGTGATGGCACTTCTAAGACTGTGAAGAACACACTTCCACAGTCCCATGGCCATACACATGGCCCTTACCCTTTTGCACTGACACTGAAGCCCATGAAGAGCTGGATTTAAAACCCTACAAGCTCCGAACTCCTGTACAAGATATGTCCTAATACAGAAATACAGCTCAGTAAAATCCCTCCTTTCCAGGTATCTCCTCCTTGTCTGGGTACTCCCACAGTGTGATGAACCTGTTACTTCACTGCTAACAAATTAAAATAGATGGAGCTCCTCAGTTCCTGCTGCAATGCGCATTTTTCAAACCTTGGAGCCAGGCTGAGCCCTTTCCCACATTTCCAGCCGCCTTTCTGAAGGAAGGGGTCTAGACCAGAACACAGGAACCCGGCACAACCCTCTGTCACACAGACCAGAATTACACCCTTTCCCCTCATTTGCATAACCTTGCATTTAGCCGCAAGAAAACACGCCTGATTGCTCATAATTTATCAAGCAATCAAGTTCTGTCTCAGGGACTCGAGCTCGTTGTTATTTACTATCTCGCCAACCCCTCCTCTAGCTCTGCTCTCACAGGTCACTACAGTTTACAGATGAACTGAGACAGATGAAGTGTGAGGGAAAAAGACTTGAGTACATGTAGCAAGGAGGCAGAGGAATTGTAACAAACAACATTTTTAAGCCCCATACTTTGGCAGCTGTGCAGAAGGTGAAGAAAATTCTCTGTGCCTTCCATTTAAAAAAGCTCTTTTCGGTCTCTCACATTTCTTACACTCCTCTCAAAAATCCATTTTTCCATAGCCCTCTTAGCTTTTAAGATCACCAAAATAAAACACAAAGTACTCCCCTGTCACTCTTCGGACCTCTGTTAATCTTCATCAATTTTTAAGCAGTTCAAAGACAGTGAAAAGCAAAAAAGCAATCCAAACTAACAAACCCAAACAAACACGGCACTCTAACATTCATAGGGTTGCAAATATATGCATGCACATAGCCTACTGTGATGAGAACTGCAAGAATTACTCTCTTTAGTGAAATTTCATAACGATGAAATGTGTGAAGATTCAACTGGGAGAGATAGAACGTAAAGGAACTAAATTTAAAGACAGCAAAATTTTAATCTGAAAACTTTTAAGCAGCCTTTAAAAATTAAAATCAAAACCTTCTCACTGATTCAAGCATTCTTAAAGTACAACAATGCCTCTGAATACATACCATTCACAAAAGCAGAAAGAACACTCACAAAAAACACACCTCAGGGCTTAATCAATGCCCCCAGGGGCAGAAGCAGGTGAATTCAGTAGTTAAATGCCTTTTGAGCTATCTCCCTTTCTTTCACCACTGATTTATGCCTGAAGACGTGATTTGGACCACATGAAAAAAAAAAAAAAAAAAAAAAAAAAAAAAAAAAGCACCTTTTGATTCACCTGGATTACCCAAAGAGTGAAGACACAAAATTAACCATACCCAGAACAGCATTATTTAACACACAAGTCTTCCTCTTTTGTAAGCTTGGCTGCACTAAGCTAAATCTGGGGTGTGGAGAATATAAATCCTGGGTTTTTTCATTCTTTGACCAAAAGAAGGACAAGGTGTGGCTGAACAGGAGGAGGAAAGGATTCTGTTAATACAAAGTAGACAAATGTTTGGGGAAAGAGGTGATATTCTAAACTAACCCACAGGGCTGGCTAGCATGATGGATAGGATGCTCCTTGGATCCCATAAACATCCTGTCAACGTTGAGACTCCGTTGGAAAGGACAGCAGTATTCCTTAGAGTCCATTCCCCCCACCGGCTCTCAAACACACAAACTCACAATTTCCGCAGTTTCCTGAGCCCCAAATTCCATAACAGGACTCGTAAATTTATTTTTTTTTTTTTTAGCAATTATTATTTTTGCCTCTGGAACGAATCCCCATTTGCCGAGGGAGAGGCGAGGAGGCCTCACGCTCTGTGTTTGCCATTTTACCACCTACCTGTTTGAATCACAGCCCCTGAGCCTGCACCAGTAACAGTCTGTGTGGGTTTCGAGGGCAAAGTGCAGCCCTCACACAACAACTGTGCTGAGTTCAGTAATCTCACCCGGGAATATATGTTTTTCTTACAGATACAAGGAAGCAATCTTTTGAAAAATAACCTGATGTATTTCCCACTCCTCCTCCTCCCTCTTGAAGTACATATATCCTTTACCACCACTCCTCCCTTTGGTAAACAAGATTCTTCATAAAAAAAGACAAACAGATCTACATCAGCAGACTTCTCTATATTTTAGGGGGGGAGGGGTGGGTTTATGGAGTTCATCCCAGTCCAGCTAGTCTAGAGTTGTGGACTAGAGTGAAGAACCAGCTATCCACAGCTAAACAGGCAGTACAGCACTGAAATACTTATAAAAATTCCCCCTTCATTTTTTAACACTGCTCTGTAGTACTTTCATATTCAAATATCGTAACTGTT